CCTTTATATTTGGGGTGGGGTTAATTTCTTTCCATCAATCATCAACAATGCTCTTAGGGTGAGTTATTTTATATATAAATATGTTATTGATCGAGAGTTATCAATACGAAACTATTTTTTCTCTTATAGTCATCTATTATACGACATAATTTCAATTCCAAGAAGAATATAAAGAAGTATAAACTCACAAGCAACAGGAATGATAAATTCTTTGGCTATTTCTTGTTGAAGTTGAAAGCCATTCATTTTGGGCATGTGGACTTCTGTGACCACAAGATCAAATGAGAGGCCACTGCCACGAAGAACACCCAAAGCATCTTTTGCGCTCTTCACTGTCACAACTGAATTAAACCAAGAAATTATATTATTGTAAAACATATAAAAAAAATAAAACTATTGATAATACATATAGAAAATTTTCCAAAATCAGTTGATGAGAAAAAGAAGAAATTAAAAGAAACTAATTAGATGAATTGATGGCTAGGTTTGACTTATATAAATCTCGATCGACATAAATCTCAAATCAAAATATGATAACATGAAAAGAATAAAAAATATACTTTATTTTAAGATGATATAAGTGTCATCACAATATTAGATTTTAAACACTCAAAAAATTTAGTAAAATGAAAAACTAAAGTTAAGTACCTTCAAATTTGGATTTCTTGAGAAAAGTAGCAGTAATGAGAAGACAAGTGACATCAACATCTACCACCAGACATCTGATTATTTCAAAGAGTTGATTGTTTTGTTCCTCCATTATTTCTTCTGGAAAAAAAATTTGATAACACTGATTTGTTTTAGATGTTTTTTTGTTGAAAGAAAACACAAAGTTAAACAGATAAGAACAAAAATGAAGAGAACATTTTCTAATTATTATTTATACAAATATTTGAGTCTATCTTGTTACACCAAAAGTCTATATTAGATTTGCTTACCAAGTTCTACCACTTCCTTTTAGTAGCTTATTTATTTTCTTCACATTTTTATTTATTTATTTATTTACCTTCTTTTTTTTTCCTAAATAAACAACATCACAGTAAGAAGCTACACCAATTTACCATAAATTTGTATATATCCACCGTCTAATCCATGATATATAATTAATATTCCATATATGTACTTCTAAATTTTTTTGAATTCTCACGGTCAAAGCTATATATTATCTTATCATATATATATTTCTTTTAGATGAAAAAAATATCTTCTTACTTTTTTTCTTCACCTGCACAATATCTATCTTCAAGAATTTAATTATTAATATTCCATATATGTACTTCTAAATTTTTTAAATTCTCACGTTCAAAGCTATATATTATCTTATCCATAAATATATTTCTTTTAAAATATCTTCCTACTTTTTTTCTTGCACCTGCACAATATCTATCTTCAAGAATTTAATTATTTTTGAATTGATAACTAACGGCCTATCGTTTTCAATTTATTTATGAGTTATTATTATGAAATGGAAAAAAGAAAAGTTCAGAAATTATTTTAAAAAAAGTTCACTGCTGATATAGGGAAAAGATGTTATCGTATAAATTAAAAAATTGTTAAAGGAAGGAAATAGTTATTTTAGAAGAAGGAATTAATTGTCTTAAATTTAAACAAATCAAATAGTTAAGTAGTGATGAGAAAAATCTCAAAAATTAATTAAATATACTATTAAGTAAAATTCTGTAATATTATAGAGAAATAACACTCGATTAAAAGAGCTCCAATATTATACTACATCACAACAATCTGGACATCTTTTCCCTCATTGATCACTTGTCAAAATTGTCTTAAAAATTGCCAAATCAAATAAATAAAAGATGCAAGAATCCTGAATTGCAAATATACCTGCACAAACATAATTATCTTTCCTCTCATGTGAGTAAAAAATATTCACATTATATAAATATCAATCTTCTTTATGATAGTTATATATATATATATATATATATATATAAGAAAACATATTATTATATTTATTTTCATTGATGCATCAATTCAGAAAGTATCATACACTATTAATTGAAAAGAGAAGCATGTTTATTAGTAACCATGTGAAAATAAATACAAATCACAAGCGCTCCTAGGACTTCTTAGTTCTATATCCACTTCAAGCAAGGAGAATTTTTCAATGAAGAGATGTCAGCATAAGAAATAAAGCACAAACGATACAAAATACTTCTTATATCACAAAATAAAATACCTTCTACGGGTTTTTTTTCAAACTTCATAGACAAATGCAAATGTTGATGTTCAAAATTTAGTGTCACACCCCGAGCCTATACCCTAGATGTGACCGACACTCGAGAACTATTGTTGGTCCCCAAGCGAACTCTTGGTCTGGCTAACTACTTAGCGGAAGACTGACCCAAGCAGATATAAGCTTTAAAAACAAAAGTAAATCATTGTCTCAAAAATAATCAACTCAGATAATTTAAAAGCAATAATAGTTTAAAGAAAATATTGAAAGAATCATCAACACTCTCTATCTATGAAGCCTCTATAGTTCAATATGGATGTCGAGACAAGATCTACGACACCTCAAAACAAATAAACAAAAAGATGAATAAAATGGGGTCCCCTAAAATGCCAGGAGGGGGTCACCAAAAGCGGTCAAGGAATACAAAGTGATCTAGACGAAGTGTCTGTTGATGATCCTGAGTACCTGCACTTTTAAGATGCAGGTCAAATGACATTAGTGCATTATATGTACGAGTATGTAATATACCCGAAGCGAAAAAATTGAACAGAATGAGGGTGACTGTAACACCTTGGAAATTGGAAAGTTGAATTAAAAAGAAAAAAATCAGTTTTTGGCACTGTTGGTGTGACCTACGAGTCTCATCTACAGACCATAGGAGGTTTTATGGGACGTAGAAGTTGAGTCATAGAACTTAAGTTGAGTTGTGGAAAAAATTTTTAAGTTTCTAATGTTTGACCTAATTGAATAAGACAAATCATAGAAAGTTTGGCAGGTCATATGACTGACCCATAGAATGATTAAGACTAATTGGTTTAAGACCTCAGTCTACTAGAAGGGTTTGACGGGTCGTAGATGGTTCTATGGGACGTAGGAGGGCTTCGTAGAAGTTCGTTATAAAACCTTAGAAGTTGAAAAGTCAAAAAGGAAAGAAAAATGCAGAAATTTGAATGAAGCGAGTTTCTACAAGTCCAGCCTATGGACCGTAGAAAGGAAGTCGTAGACCGAGAGTTGAGTTTTGAAAAATTAAGTTTCTGAAGATTGGACCTACGACTTGACAGGACGAACCGTAGAAAATTTTACGGGTAGTAGGACTGACTCGTAAGATTGATTCCAAAATTTGATTTAGGACCTCAGGTCTATGGATAATTTTGACGATTCGTAGTTGGTTCAACTAACCGTAGGAAGATTCTGTAGAAAGCTTCCAGACCTAGTGAAATTTTGGAGTGAAAGTTGAGTTCTACGGATAGGGTCTACAAACCGTAAGAATTTTGACAGACCGAAGAATGGTCTCGTGGGAAATGATTGAATATTTGGATTTCTGAAGTTGGTTCTATGGTTGACCAGGACATAGATTCAAAGCATTTTTAAACTCTAATTTATTTTATCCTGGGAGTTTTGTTTTGATATAAACATTTTCTAAATGATTTTCTCGCGAATATTAAGCTAATCAAATCAATATGACTGGTGGAATGTGGTATTGTAGCTACTGGTTGGTAAGCTTGCAATCAAGTTATTGCTATCTTACGAGCAGCTTGTTATACTCTATTAGTGCCTTTCTTTGGTCTATCATAAGCAACTAAGCAGAAGTAGGTTTCTCTCTTTCTATTTACTTAATATGCAAATTCACTCCGAGCCGAGTCAGTGTTGGGGTTGGGTTGGTTGATCGCCCAAAATATGATTGAAATTCGTATGGACTGTTGGTCACAATTGTAGGTCTGTTCGACAGTTACTTTTAAAGTGTATTTGGGTCCTTTTCTATGCACTTAATGCTTATACTACGCTGTTTTGACCCTAATTCTAAGTCCTATAACTACCCTTCACCCTTAGAAATTTCCCAACTCCCTCATTCAATCAAATTCCAAAATTCTCTCTAAGGTTCTCTCTAAAATTTTCTCTCTATACAAGGAAGAAGAAAATAAGGTTCTTTAAGGTCAAGTCTCCTTTTTCATCATTGATTCTAGGGATTCAAGGTCAAGGTATGTAGGGAGTTCATCAATGGGTTCCATTTACTTATTGAGTCCCTAAAGACTCTTCAATTTTCTAATTCAATGCCAACCAAATTGATTAAGGTTTTCATTGAATTATCATGGGTTCTATTTATGTTGATTAAATTTATTGAATTTGATCTTATTATGATTGCTTTGACTCAATTACATGCTTTCCAATTGAAATCACATGAACTCATGCATTGATCATGATTTTGACTATGAATCCTAATTTGCATGAATTTGAAGAAAAGCAATGAATCAATGAATGATGTTTTCATAAACTTATGCATGATTTATGAAAAGGAATAACTTATGATCTAGGTTGATTTAAGATGAACATCGATGAAATTGTGAAAGGTATTTTCTCACATACTTAAGAAATCATGAATTGTGAAAGATTTTCTCACATACTTAAGAAATCATGAATGATGAAAGATTTTCTCACACATGGTTTAAGGAGCTACTCTATGATGTTATTAGCTTGGATTAGTAACTTCACTGTATTTTTCCATGAATGATTATATGCTTATATTTATGACTGTTCTGTTGCGATTTTTACTTAGCACGGAGAAGATATTGAGATGGAGGCTCTCCCGTTAGTAGAGGTCGGGTCTCTACTATCAATCTTCTTATCCCTAACTACCTCCCCCCCCCCCCAAAGGTTGTCTTAAGTGACATAGCTAGTGGATCCACCTAAGCTATAAGTTTCAGGTTGTTGTCTTGGCAAGCAATGTCATCTCTTTTTGGTGTGGGAGCAAGACACCGGATTTCATGTTGTAGCACACATGGTCTATGTTAGTGAATAGTAAATATCCCACAAAATGAACTAAGTTACTTTCAAGGTTTTATGAAGTTTTCCTCATAATTGTTAGATGCATTGACCATGCTCATGATTATGATTCTTCTTTAAAGATTTACTATATTTAGCTTGGTCATACCTATCATGTTATCGTTTATGTCCTCTTATGGTCATGTCACATGTTTTTATTGCATTCCCCTCATACTTAAAACAGTCCATGTACTAATGCATACTTGTGCCTATTTTATTTCACTAATCTGGGGCTTGACGATTCATCTCCCTTCTTTCATGGCTAGTTGATCTCATTGACGATCAAGAGTTGGTTTTGAGTCCTCATGTTTCGAGGACCATGATATTTTTATTGCTTTCCCTATGTTTTAGTTTCCAGACTTTGTATATGGTGTACGCATTACATTCCAACCACTCTTTTGATGTAATAGATGGCTTTTCAAGACTTTGATGTACTTCCGCTTTTTTGTCAAACTCTTTACATTCTTATGAGATTTCTTGATTTTCTCTATTATGTCGTGTATATGTATGTCAAGTTGCTAGTGTAGGGCCTTTTGGGATCTTATATGTCATGTCACATCTAGGATGTACTTTGGGTCGTGATAAACTTGGTATTCAGAGCACAATGGTTTAGAAAAAGGTCCTAGGAAGTCTAACAAGTTGCTTCATGAATGTGAAGCGCACCACATTTATAAATAGAAGGCTACAAAGTGTTTAGAAAACTCCGCTTCTTTCATTACTCTAAAGTCGTGTCATAGAGTTTATCTCTATAAAGAACCAAATCCTAAATTGGATTTGATCCTTTTCAAGATATGGCCCTTCGAAGAGCTTATATGAGAAGAAATGCGGATGAGAATGTGGAGTCGGAGGTTCCTCAAGTTCTGGTTAACCTTTTGGCCGTGCAAGTGACTCATGCTGAATTACGAGTCGCTTTCCAAGTGTTGTCTCAAGTGATGAAGGCTCAAGCTAATAGAAAGGCATTTAATGCTCTCGTGAACCCAAATGTGGGTACGGCGACAACAAGGATAAGGGACTTCGCAAGGATGAATCCTCTGAAATTTCATGGGTCTAAGGTTGACGAGGATCCTCAAGAGTTCATTGATGAGGTTTACAAGATAGTAGGTATTATGTGATTGACTATGGTTGAGAAGGAGAAGTTGGCCGCTTATCAACTCAAGCGTGTTGCTCAAGTGTGGTTTGAACAATGGAAAAGTGAGAGGGCGATTTATGTGGGTCCTCTTGATTGAGAGAAGTTTAAGGGTGTTTTTATTGATCGTTTCTTTTGTCTTGAAATGAGAGAAGAAAAAGTGTTTGAGTTCATTAACCTCCGACAGGGAAATATGAGTGTGAAGGAGTATGCTTTGATGTTCACTCAATAGGCTAAGTATACTCCAACTAAGTAAGGTGTCACATTTTCTTTCTCAAAAGGAATGTACTCCTCCACTCTCTCATATTTCCATGAACAATGATATGATGTATGAGGATGAATACATCACAACACATACAACACAAGGCATAATCGATCCATCAAGGATTTCAAGTAGTATCAAGTTCCCAAACTTTGTAAGTCATGAAACGCGTTCTCAAATGATAGGGGTAATGGAGGGATCCATTTGAAATCATTGTTTACCACTTAGAAAGCATTTCCTTCATTTTAAAGTATTTCAAAAATCAACTCAAGCTCCTAACTCGGACATCTCAATGTCATATAAAAAGATAGACCACACAACCCCTCGCTCGGGCAATTACTCAACTATCACAGTTTTCAGCAACAAATAAATGTATCACACAAGCCCTCATACAGGCTAAGCATCACAAATAGGTATCGTACGAAATAAATAAGGAGTTCAACACCTACCAACTTCTAAGATTCATACTACTACTCATTTCACAGTTAACTTCCTAAGAAAGGTTAATTACTCATCTCAGTCTAAAATAGGGATAGTCAAACGTACCTCGAAGGTCGAAACTTCACTCGAACAACTCTATTGAAGCACTTCCTCAACCACACGAATCTCCAACAATCAAGAATGGATAGAGTTCATCAAAAGGAGTCCAAATATACCCATATTAATTGGATTAGAAATGGGGATAAATTAGTCCAAAAATCACTTCGAAAATTGAAAGGATAAAATCAGATTTTTAATTGAAAATAAAGTTCTACAAGTCAAGGGGGATTCATGGTTGAAAATTCCATTAAAATCGATCAAGCAACGAGCTCCAAATTAAGAAAATTACAATTTTCTAACTTTGGGGGAAAATCCCCAAAACCCACATTGAAATCAAGAATTAAAAGTTGTTTTGGATGATAAAAAATAAAGAAAATGATAAGGGGTTGGTAGGGGAACTTACCCCCATGAATTTCACCAAGAAAAACTTTCAAGAATCGTCTCTCCTAAGCTCAAATCGAGTGAAAATTGGGAAGAATCCTCAATTTAATTTTTTTCCAGGTGAAATTGGTCATCGCGATTGCAAGCCACTAATTCTCGCGATCGCGAAGGGCACGAAAGATTACATCGCGATCGTGAAGGCTAAGGGAGAGAAAGGTTCATCGCAAGCCTAAGGGCCGCGATCGCGAAGGTCAAAATGACATGCACCAGAAATTGAAAGCCAACAACTCAACACAAGGAAAAATGCTCCATAATGGACACTCGAAAATCGTTCGGAGTCTAGTAAAAATAAATTGGAGATGCTACCCCACTAAATTCAACTTTCTGGACTCAACGGAATCGTTGAATTTCAGAAAATATGTCAAATAACGGAATTACCCTTTCGGACCACTCTTAAGGTTTAAAACTCGACTTCTTACCCAAACGCCCAAAACTCATCCTAAGGCCTCGAAAACCTTACCAACCACTTCACTAGCTCCAATTCGACGTTTCGGACGCAATGAAACTGACGAAATTCTCATCCGACACTCGAAACTAAAAATATTAAACAAAGTCAACCCTATCATGAATTCTCAACTCAAGAGAGGTCAACTCACCAAAAATACACCCGATCGCATCAGGGACCACACCATCCATTCCCGAAACACAAATTAAGCATGAAAATGCTAAGGGAAGGAGAAAATGATCATTTCACAATTAAAAACAATTCACAAAAAATGGGACATTACAACCAAGCTACTGTTATAAAATGCACGAGTTTCATCCATTAGTTTCGCCCCAATGTGATTGAGGAAGGGTTTTTGAAGACGATATTCTACTACTTCCAAATAGAATGTGACTATCATTTGAGACTAAGGCGTAATAATAGTAGTAGTTGTTGTAGTAGTAGTATCGAACAATTAGCATAGATATACACTTTAAGAAATCACAAAATGTGAGTGATGAAGTGGTAAACATGCAAGTGCTTATGCTATTATTTTCAAATGCAGATGTTATTCGTGCCACTATATAATATCAAGAATAATTTAAACAATCAGATTATAGAACTTCAAAGAATATATGTCTTCTCGAGTAGCTATGAATAAGTTTAAGTCTTTATTTTTGAATTCTAATTATGATAAATGCCAGAGATATTTTCCTAATAAAAGGTTTTTTATTTCTCTTTTTTTACACAGATGGAATGATTCTTTTGTCGAGAACTTTGAAGTCACTTGTAGGTTTATTACCATCCTTTACTGGATATTTTGATTAGGGGTGTTCGTCAATTGATTTAATATGATTTTGAGACATTGTGTTTCTGTATTTTGTGGTATGCAATTTTTCTCTGGTCTTTTTTTTTTTTAACCCTCCCTAGAAGCGCCCACCCCTTTTGCTCCCTTGGTGACTCGAACTCGCAACCTTTGGGTTGGAAGTGAGGGGTGCTTACCATCCGAGTAATTCCTTCCCTCTGGTCAGTTTCAGTTAAATAACTTCAATTTGTTTGCATTGCTTACTTTGTTTTATATACATGAGTTTCTAGATACGTGTCCCATGTAATTTTTTTATATAGATTTGTTAGAACTATTTAAATTTTATAACAACATGCATAAGTAATAAAATGCAACAATTATAAATAAATCTTAAAATGTGACAAGAAATTTCTTCCATTTTAGTAATACGATATTAATATTCAACTCTTCTCCTTCTCATATTACTGTTTTATTATACTTTGACTAAATCTCCTGTTTAACTTAAGTTAGTTGTTGTCCATGTATTTAATGCTTGACCAAGCCACACCGACATTGATACATCGATTTCGCACATGTAGTTCGATCCCAGCGGACAAGATAGATTTACCCTTGGAAAGAGCCAGTCATGATGATTTTCGTGGATATGCAATGTTTTCTCTTTAGTAATACATCATGTAATATATTAGACATGCTCCTCATATAAGGATCAACCAAAAATAAGCTAATTAGACGTGATAATCTTAAATTTTATGTACAACTCTAATAATGCATCAGAAAAAAAGACTAAAAGGACATCATAAGCAACATGCTCAAACATAAATGCTAAGTACTATGTGATGATGACATCTCACCTCCTTCTATGCCCCTCTCTAGTATGAAACACAACCTTTTAATTTCTAGAATATTAAACAGCCATACAGACGATGCTTAGAATATGTACCTCACACGACAACATGGATACTGCTTGGAGTAGCCTGACATATGGTATCACAACATTTTCTAATCCCCCATTAATTATTGTTTGAAACATCTATCAATCCATGAATGTGCTTCCTGGTGGAAGTAAAGAAAAGAAAGAAACAACTTCAATAACCACTTCAGCTGAAGTATAATCAAAATGTTACAATTTGAGAACATACGTCATCTATATATATATTACCTTCCTGAGAAAACAAGTTCCAATGTTATTCAATTGACCTTTAAAGACCAAAAGACAATAGCAGATTTACCTTATACTAGAAGTTGTTAAATTACCTGTTGCACTCCCACGTAAGTCACATAGTATAAGGGATCTAGTGTTTCATCTCACAACTGTAACATTGTTCGACACATCATGAACGAACTTATCAGGTAAACACTAACCTGCAGCATCCACGAACGACCTCACACACAAAAAGCAAACACTTAAAAGAATATTAGCTAGCTTGCAATGGGTGATCAATCAAGAGAGAAAAGCGTACTAGTGACGATTCTTGAACAGACACATACATATGCTGCATGGCACACACATATGACATATGATTCCTTAATAGGCACATGCATATGCTATCAAGCTTAACACGAATCCCTAGTAAAATACCGTGTTGAAAACCATCTATAGACACCAAGAGGGAAACAATAATTCCAATGTTAAGGTGGATCATAAGTAAATTGCAACAGCTACAAGACTGCAATGCATTTAGTTTCTCACTTAAGCAAGAAACTTGCCAGCTTCTCACTAAAGCAAGAAACTTGCCAGCTTCTCACTAAAGCAAGAAACTAATTTGCACAATTTCTAATTACCAATCATCATATCATATATTACTAAAATTGGGAAAAAATTTAGAAAATCTAAAATTGAGTTTGGATACTTCTCAGGTGTCCATAACAATCAGCGATCTCGTCATATGGATCATCCAAGAAAATAATCATCTAGACTAAAAACTTTATGGCTACAGAGTACAACATACGCTAGTGGAAAATATCCATGTTGAGCACTTCCACTAGGTTTTACAAAGACAAAAGGGACCCGCTGATTAGGAAGGAACTACATTGAAGTTCATGCTCTAGGAGACCCAAACAGTTACATGCACAAAAAGAATGTTACAGGTAATGGGAACCCATACCACGTAGGAGAGATCACTAGAGATGCCAAACAAGGCAAAGCGCCCTTTGCTTGATGCCTGATGATATCCAATATCCAAATTGCAGTGTAAGCACCAAAATGGAAACAAACATGGTCCTCAAGGATGCACATCGAAACCAAACTACAAAATTTCCAAATCTTATCCTCTTACTACCACCATGTGGCCTACGAACATTCATCCAACCAAACTTAATCAACTGGTAGGCTAAACGAAATCAGAGGAGGTAAGTACAGAGAACACGAAAAGTAGAGGAGCGTGTTACCGGGACATCAAAAGATCCACAATTGAGTTTGAATACACTTATCATGAATTGTCGATAGCCATGGAGATCTCATCAGTATAAGTTGAATCACCAATGAACATAAACATCTGGATTATTAAAAAACAAACATGGTAACAAAATAAACACCAGTGAAGGAATTTGACAACAGAGAAGGACACCATTCTGATTAGGCAAGAAAATTGAATTGAAGATCTCAATAATCAGTAGAAGCATCAACCAAAAAATGATAATTCAACTTTTAACTTTATTTCTTCCATTTTTAGTAATACATGATGATATTAATATTTAACTCATCTCCTTCTCATATTACTGTTTTATTACACTCTGACTAAATCTCCTGACGTTGGAGATAACAGTTTAACTTAAGTTAGTTATAGTTCATGTATTTAATGCTGCTGCAGTTTCGATATGATTATCTTTTGACCTCCTTCCCATCTCAATCTTTATACAAGTGACCGCAAAACTTACTCTGAAGCATGAGAAACACGGGGATTTAACACGAGGTCACCTGAAAGAGAATCTAGCAATCAATGGCTAATATTCATAATTCAGTCACCTGTAAAACTCAACCTTGCAACAACCTCAAGAGGTAAGTTTCCAATGGAGGAGAATCTCGAAAATATTCATAATTCACAGTCACCTCATCAAGTTTATTACCCCAACATGCCATGGTCAGTCAGCAAGGTGAGTACACTATTTTGTACTGAAGTACTCCTACACATCCACCACATGTTGATTCCGAAAAGATCATTATAATTGCAAGAAAATGCATATGATGATGAGTAACTTTGATAGCTTGAGCTAATATTATTATTGGACTTAGTACCTTGGTACTGCAGAGATACAAGAGAACATAAGGATGAGTAATTACCTTGAAACATAAAAATGTAAAGCTACCAAATCAAGTTTATGAAATTCCGCCTGTCAAGAACAATTCAAAAATGTGTGGTGTGAAGTTGAGCTCAATTCAGAAATGTGTAGAGTGTGTTGACCAAGCCACACCAACACTAATACATCGATCTCCCACATGTAGTTCAATCCTAGGGACAAGACAGAACTACCTTTGGAGAAAGCCAGTCATGATGATTTCCATGGATATTCACAAAGATGCAAATGTTTTTCTTCTTTTGTAAGACATCATGTGATGTATTAGACATGCTCCTCATATAAGGATCAACCAAAAATAAGCTATTTTGATGAATTAGACCTGAAAATCTTACTTGTGTAGAACTCTAGTAATGCATCAGAAAAAGAGACTAAAAGGACATCATAAGTAACATGCTCAAATAAAAATGCCAAGTATCATGTGATGATGAAATCTAACCTCTTTCTATGACCCTCTCTAGTATGAAACACAACTTATTAATTTCTAGAATAAACGACCATACAGACACTGCTTAGAGTAGCCTGACATATGGTATCATAATATTTTCTAATCCCCATTAATTATTGTTTGAAACATATATCAACATGAATGTGCTTCCCAGCGAAAGCAAAGAAAAGAAAGAAACAACTTCACTAACCACTTCAGCTAAAGAATCATCAAAATGTTACAATTTGAGAACGACATCTATATACCTTCCTGAGGAACTTGAGAAAAAAAGTTCCAATGCTTTTCAATTGACCTTTAAAGACCAAATGACAAGAGCAGATTTACCTTAAACTAGAGTTTGTTAAATTACTTGTTGCATTCCCATGGTAAGTCACATAGTATAAGGGAGCTCCTACATCCAGTGTTGCATCTCACAGCTATAACATTTTTCGACACAGGAAGTTACATGAACAGACTAATTTGGTAAACACTAACTTGCAGCATCCACAAACGACCTCACAAACAAAAAGCAAATAGTTAAAAGAATATTACCTTGCAATGGGTGATTAATCAAGAGAGGAAACCGTAGTGACGATTCTTGAACAGACACATACATATGCTGCATGGCACACACATATGACATATGATTCCTTAATAGGCACATGCATATGCTATCAAGCTTAACACGAATCCCTAGTAAAATACCGTGTTGAAAACCATCTATAGACACCAACAGGGAAACAATAATTCCAATGTTAAGGTGGATCATAAGTAAATTACAACAGCTGCAAGACTACAATGCATTTAGTTTCTCACTTAAGCAAGAAACTTGCCAGCTTCTCACTAAAGCAAGAAACTAATTTGCACAATTTCTAATTACCAATCATCATATCATATATTACTAAAATTGGGAAAAAAGTTGAAAGTTGATATACCAAAATAACCCTATAAACTGAGATACTACAATAATAATTAATTAATATATATAGTTATATTTAAGTTGCATTTTAATTTCAACATTGAATGTTACTTCAGTTATTTTAATTATTGGTTACCAATGAAAGATAATAAATTAAAAAGCTTTTGATTTCCTTATGTTACCAATTTAACTAGATAATGAATAATCTTATTTGTTATCTTAAATTTTTCTCACTAATCAACTTATTATAAATGAAATAATCAACCCCTTCTTGACTCCTCGTTAGAAGAAATAATAGAGACAAGTTGAAGATTTCTAATAAAGGTATGTTCATTTTATTTGGTTATTTTCTTTGAATGTTTATGAAAATATATATTCCTTTTCGTGTATTTTTTAAGCACTATCCAATTTTTCTTTTATTGTACTTCTTTGTCTTTGTCAGATAATTATAATGAGCTCAATTTCTATGATGAGGAACCTCAAAAATCATTGCCAAGGATCCTTCCTTCTACATAACCTTTTAGATTTCCCAAATGAATCTATATGTTGCACCTAATAATATCAAAGTAGTTATAAGAACTTGAAAGAAAAGAGGAACAAAGTTGGACCATCAAGTTTCTCCAAAGTAACATCTCTTAAATGATGACTCTGAGTCATGACTGGCAAATTTAGACAACTGGAGCTTAGAGGATGAGAAGTACCCCATTCGGAGTTATCTGGTGAAATTGGACAATTGGAGATTTTAAAAAAAATATCCCACTCAAATTATTTGGCAAATTTGGATAGCTGGAACTTAGAGAAAATAAAAATATCCCATTTAGTGGCCATATTTAAAAAAGAAAAACCACGACAAACTGAATCCAAAGCATCCTAACTACATCAAGATGCTAATACCTCCCTCAACTTCAAAAATAGTACTCTCACATCTATATTGTTGTTTTATAGGTAAGCCATCCAAATTAGAAAATACAACAAATACTTTTAAACTAGGAGTCGGACATTATCAAAACCATTGTAGATGACTATAACAGACTGCTTCTTAGAAACCCCGTAATCTTGTCCCTTCTCGTGTTTGGTGCATGAACCCACCTAACTAATTGTGTGGATAACACAATATCACTGTGCAACTAATACTTGCTCTTGGTAGATAACACACAAAAATTCCACTACTCTAGCACATGTACTCCATTTAAAGCTTCTAGGTAGATAAAGAAAACGAGAAGAGTAGGGATGGAAACTTCTTCGTGTTGAATGAGCTAATCGCCCAACAACATGGGATACAGAGAGAAACATCTACAAGGGAAGACTCTAAAACTTCTACTGAAGAGTCTTCTAGAGGAGAAGATGCAAGAAAAGACGATCTGTTGCAGGTACCAGAGATAAGGATTACTTCATTACAAAGATTATTGACATCCAACAATAGAAACTGCATGGTCTATACCCTTATCATCATTACCTCGTGTAGATCCAAAAAGAAATTGGCATAACCTAAACATGAAGTTCTTGGATGCCTCAAGAAACTAACAGAAGTGAGAATTTACAGCAAAGTCAAATTTCAAAATATATCTGCAAACCTAGAAAGAGATTCCCTGCGCCATAAGCTCACCATACCATTTGAATCTCACTTCCAGCACAGGAGACCAAGCATTCCGGCACAGGAGACCAAGCATTCTGCCAGACTTCATTTCTGCAATTGACAGGTCTTCTCATTCCATAACTATATAGCAAAATCAAAGGACTTAGAGATATAACAACAACAACAAATCCATACATATCCGATTCTTTAAATACCCAAAAATCATCAACCGTCTCCGGTCATCAGGAAAATGAACACACAAGACTAGTTGCACTATGGCAGAAACCTCAAAAAAAAAAATCCTTGACCCCGCCACCCAAACTTCCAAATGCCACAACCAAAGAGCAGAAACCTGCATCAGGGAAAAAATTAAAGACTACCAGATCATATAAGACAACCGGCAGGAGAAAGGAACTCGAGTTGCCAACCCTCCCCATTGTAACCAAGCAGGGATATTTATAGAGGGCAGCGGGACAAAACAATTGACTACAAGATTAAGTAGAGATATCAACTCCAAACCACCAAAGACAGTTGCAGCTTTGTGAAAAATGTAAGATCATGTCATCAAAATCGACAGCTCTACTCCCATTTGGAGGAAGGGGAGAAAGAAGATAGATCTAACCGAAACCTGATTACACAGAAAATTCCAAGAGAACTCCTAGATTCATGGAAAAACTTCCAAACTTGCACGATGATAAAAATGGCAACTTCAACCATATGAAGAAAATTAGTACAAAGCTCAACTCAAAAGAGTATTTACAAGAACAAGAATCATTCAAAAACTTCCCAACTTGCAGGTTGATCTAATATGTAATTGATTTACTAGGATATCTCATGAGAAGATCTTTTACACAAAAAAAAAGATACAGATAGCATAAAGAGTGTACATGACATGTTACACAAAAGATGAGCCAAGTTTTATACTTGATATATTCCTGATTCAATGAATTCCTCCCTCTTCGGTGCAAAGACTGTTCAAGTGGCAATGCCTTATGGAGAAAAAAAGTGTGATATAGCTTTTTTTTATATTAAAGTTTTACAGAATAGCTAACTGTCTGAAGCAACTCCTCAAATGATTGGATATTTGAACATAGTGTACACATGTTTCCAAAAAAAAGGTACAGGAGAGATCTTCAAAAATAAAAAAAGTTTTCATTTACCTAACAACAATTAATTTGAAAATAATAGTGATTATGGCTGCAAATAGTGCGCCCAATAAATAAACCACAAATTAAATGAGAGAAAGTCGAAGTTAGATGGTGTCGGTACGTGTAACGACCCGAACCATTGTTAATTAAGAAGGAAAAATATCGGGAAAAACTGGGTCTCTCGGCCTTCCAGAGCGGGCCAGATGCCGCCAGGGCGGCGACGCTCTAGCGGGATAAGTGGCTTCCAGAGCGGATGGACGAGACAGAATGTAAATAACGCGAAGTCTGATTTTCTCCTTTTTCCAAAAAACACCAAAAAGAGGCGAAAATCACCCCAGAAACCCTCAAAAGGCTTCTCTAGGCTTGGGAAGGAAGGAGAAAGAGATTTCTAGCATAAGGAGGTCGATAGATTGCGGACTTCTGGTCAAGATTCACCGTCCCGTCATTCAGAAACCAGATTTTGAGCTACAATCCCTCTGTGAATGCTTGGCGCCCATGTAGGTTAGGTTTATTAATTGAGTAGTTATAAATCCGTGACTCACTGCGTAGTATATTGGTAATTGACGGTAGAATTCATATGTAGGCTTTTGTGCACCGAAAAAAAGATGACTATACGTATATTCCTAGCTGTTACATCAGACGTATACCATAGGAGGAAGCCCTACCCCGTGAACTAGGGTTACGTGATGGTTTGATTTTCTGTTGTGTGATATAAACTTGTTAATGGTTTCGTGATATGCATACGTGTATGGGATTAGAGATATCATGGATCGTACCTAATGAAAAGACTGAATATGTACAATTGCATGCCATGAACCTAATACTTAATTGTATGGCCATAAGTATGTGTGTTATAGATGTGATTGTGATTGTGATTGTGCTGATTGGACAGGGTATCACGTACAGACACACTAACATGCATTGGATCGGGTGTCACGTACCGACACACTAACATGCATTGGATCAAGTGTCACGTTCCGGCACACTAACATACATTGGATCGGGTATCACGTACTAACACATATACATGCATTGGATCGGGTGTCACGTTCCGGCACACTAACAGTTTGGACGTGGGTTTCGTGAGAGGACCACTTGTGATTGATATCTTCATATATGCTTGTTATTGATAATGTGGATATGTATGTTGTTCTCAAACTAATAATTGGATTGCACGTATATATACATGCGTGGACTGTTGGTGTCGTAAGATAATTGGGTATATCTGGCTAATGTAAATGAACAATTAACGGCCAGGCCCAAATCGGGAGGTGGTATGGTAAGTGGGGACCAAGGGTCCCGGTGTTATCATTCGTTATTTAGATAGGTGGTGATGTGTATTGTCGTTAAGAATTGGGGTGGGTTATGCCGTCAATATTAATAGTTGGGTTGAAATGGTTAACAAGCCTTGATAGAACATACTATGGGGTCAAGGGTCGAGTGGTGACGTGGAAGAAGTATGGGTGTGTCGTGAGTGGTCGGCCGGGTTGGTAGTGGTTACATCCGAAAACTCCTATAAGAGATAGAATGGTTAAGCTAGGATCAAGGATGGATCGAGTAAGGGGTTAGAGTCTAGTGTACTAGTATATGTTTAAGTCTCACGAAAATATAAAGGTGGAGGAATGAACAGTCTTATTGCATGTTTCTTGCTAGTCGATTTCTTATATTATGCGATGGGCATCGGGTTGACCGATGATGCCTACTAGTACGTGTGGTTGTACTGATACTATTCTTGCTATGCCTTTTTGGCATAGTCTGGTTGCAGGGTCAGTGATGTTTCATAGGTGAAGACGAAGGCAATCTCCAACAACTTCTATTTTTCCTTCCTACGTTATTTATAATTTTGTTATACCTTGTACTTTTAGTAGCTCTTGTACCTGTTTTAGACTAGATCCCTGGGGTGTTAATTACTTTACAAGCCTTAACTTTGAATTGTGTAAAACTCTTATTTTATGGAAATCTCCATGAATTTATTTCTATTCTTAGTTTCCTTAATCTTCCGCATGTTTTTAACTATTGGGAATCGAGGGTTCTCCTACTTAGGAGTTAGAGTAGGTGTCCGCACGGCCCGGTGGGTTGGATCGTGACAGTCTGATCGGTGGAAAAATTAGAACATCATATCAAAGGGAAGAATCCGATGCCGACTTTGACCATTTTTGCCACTATAAATATGTTGTCACCATTACATCAATTATTGAAATCCAAAATCAATTTTTTTGTTCTCTAATTTCAATTGGCCAGATTTATGACCATAGTTATTTAAGTAATAATGAGCAAATTCTGGGTTTTGCTTACTCATCTCCATGCTGCTCTTGCCGGGTACAAATTATTAATTAACTCTTCCATTTCTCAACCAGGGTTTAATTAATCTTTTTCGTTTAACATGATCAATAATTTCTGATATTCCCTTTTATCTAAAAACATGCAGGCCATTGGTGATGTCTACCCTCTGTAAGTAATTCATCTGTTGAGTTCATAAAAGATTTGTTCTATATATAATCGTGTATGAAAAGTTTAATTATCCAGTATCCTTAATCTTTTTCTTTTTTTTTGGTTATTGTGTAGATATGGATCAATAGTATGGGTCATGACCATGTACTGTAACCACCACTGACATGTAAAATTTTCAGTTAAGCTAACTACTAGAAGAGCACCATTTCAAGGAGAGAGTGGTAAGAAAAGATCATACTGATTAGTTGAGATAATCAAACTGAAAATTAGAAAATCGGACACACACAGGAGCTTGAACCAAACGAAACCTCAACAAAAATCAACAAACAAAGGCTGCTCCACGAAAAGAAGAAATTTACTTAAAGAGACCACAACTGCAAGCACAAAAAGAAGGAAAAGTTAATGCAAAGCTGGCAAAACCCAAACCACTTGGGAAATCACTAGAAATGACATCGACAATATTTACAAACCTCCTTTTTCTCAAAGCCCTAACGATATCCAGATTGCAGTGCAAACACCTATACTACCAGCTTACTGAACAACACTAACCTTTTAAATTTCCAAATCTAATCCTCCAATACTGTTCACTATGTGGTATATACACCACCTTCCTTTCAACAGTAAAAACTCAAAGATGAGCCAAAAAGAAAATGGAAGCAGAGAAAATAAGCAGAAAGAACACAAACGTAGATGAGCACTTCACGGGGCTATGAAAACATCCAGAAATGAGTTAGTACTTACCAGATGTCCACACCCATAAGAGACCTGGATCTGAAAAAACAAAAGCATCTGGACCCAAAACTGAAAATGCACTTGTGGAAAGACAAACACTTTTGATAATGAGACAAAGGAATCTCTATGACCAGGGAAGAAGACTGAATCGAAGAGCTAGATACTAATACAAAGCCTGAACTATGGAAACCTCAACACAAAGACAAACAAGGCTGCTCCATGAAAGGAAGACTTCATGGATATTTTAAGACCCAACAACAGCTGACACAAAAAGAAGGGAACAGTGAAAGCGCAAGCTGCAAAACCCATACCATATAGGAGAGATCACAAGATGAGATGCCAGACAAGACTGCATAAATCCCTTGCCAGTGCCTGGGGATATCCACATTGCAGTGCAAGCGCAAGCACCAATATGGCAAAGAAACAGGGTGCAAAAGGAGAGGACACACTGAAACCAAACTTCGAAACTACAAAATCTGATCCGAACTTCGAAATTACCAAATTTGATCCCCTCACGGGTCACCATGTGGTCTACAAACATGCATCCAAACAAACAAAATCAAGTGGCATGATAAACATAAGAAAATAGAAGCAGAGACTATAAGTAGCAAGAACACCACAGTGGAGGAGATCTTAGGTCCATAAGAAAATCTAAAATTGAGTTTGGATACTTCTCAGGTGTCCATAACAATCAGCGATCTCGTCATATGGATCATCCAAGAAAATAATCATCTAGACTAAAAACTTTATGGCTACAGAGTACAACATACGCTAGTGGAAAATATCCATGTTGAGCACTTCCACTAGGTTTTACAAAGACAAAAGGGACCCGCTGATTAGGAAGGAACTACATTGAAGTTCATGCTCTAGGAGACCCAAACAGTTACATGCACAAAAAGAATGTTACAGGTAATGGGAACCCATACCACGTAGGAGAGATCACTAGAGATGCCAAACAAGGCAAAGCGCCCTTTGCTTGATGCCTGATGATATCCAATATCCAAATTGCAGTGTAAGCACCAAAATGGAAACAAACATGGTCCTCAAGGATGCACATCGAAACCAAACTACAAAATTTCCAAATCTTATCCTCTTACTACCACCATGTGGCCTACGAACATTCATCCAACCAAACTTAATCAACTGGTAGGCTAAACGAAATCAGAGGAGGTAAGTACAGAGAACACGAAAAGTAGAGGAGCGTGTTACCGGGACATCAAAAGATCCACAATTGAGTTTGAATACACTTATCATGAATTGTCGATAGCCATGGAGATCTCATCAGTATAAGTTGAATCACCAATGAACATAAACATCTGGATTATTAAAAAACAAACATGGTAACAAAATAAACACCAGTGAAGGAATTTGACAACAGAGAAGGACACCATTCTGATTAGGCAAGAAAATTGAATTGAAGATCTCAATAATCAGTAGAAGCATCAACCAAAAAATGATAATTCAACTTTTAACTTTATTTCTTCCATTTTTAGTAATACATGATGATATTAATATTTAACTCATCTCCTTCTCATATTACTGTTTTATTACACTCTGACTAAATCTCCTGACGTTGGAGATAACAGTTTAACTTAAGTTAGTTATAGTTCATGTATTTAATGCTGCTGCAGTTTCGATATGATTATCTTTTGACCTCCTTCCCATCTCAATCTTTATACAAGTGACCGCAAAACTTACTCTGAAGCATGAGAAACACGGGGATTTAACACGAGGTCACCTGAAAGAGAATCTAGCAATCAATGGCTAATATTCATAATTCAGTCACCTGTAAAACTCAACCTTGCAACAACCTCAAGAGGTAAGTTTCCAATGGAGGAGAATCTCGAAAATATTCATAATTCACAGTCACCTCATCAAGTTTATTACCCCAACATGCCATGGTCAGTCAGCAAGGTGAGTACACTATTTTGTACTGAAGTACTCCTACACATCCACCACATGTTGATTCCGAAAAGATCATTATAATTGCAAGAAAATGCATATGATGATGAGTAACTTTGATAGCTTGAGCTAATATTATTATTGGACTTAGTACCTTGGTACTGCAGAGATACAAGAGAACATAAGGATGAGTAATTACCTTGAAACATAAAAATGTAAAGCTACCAAATCAAGTTTATGAAATTCCGCCTGTCAAGAACAATTCAAAAATGTGTGGTGTGAAGTTGAGCTCAATTCAGAAATGTGTAGAGTGTGTTGACCAAGCCACACCAACACTAATACATCGATCTCCCACATGTAGTTCAATCCTAGGGACAAGACAGAACTACCTTTGGAGAAAGCCAGTCATGATGATTTCCATGGATATTCACAAAGATGCAAATGTTTTTCTTCTTTTGTAAGACATCATGTGATGTATTAGACATGCTCCTCATATAAGGATCAACCAAAAATAAGCTATTTTGATGAATTAGACCTGAAAATCTTACTTGTGTAGAACTCTAGTAATGCATCAGAAAAAGAGACTAAAAGGACATCATAAGTAACATGCTCAAATAAAAATGCCAAGTATCATGTGATGATGAAATCTAACCTCTTTCTATGACCCTCTCTAGTATGAAACACAACTTATTAATTTCTAGAATAAACGACCATACAGACACTGCTTAGAGTAGCCTGACATATGGTATCATAATATTTTCTAATCCCCATTAATTATTGTTTGAAACATATATCAACATGAATGTGCTTCCCAGCGAAAGCAAAGAAAAGAAAGAAACAACTTCACTAACCACTTCAGCTAAAGAATCATCAAAATGTTACAATTTGAGAACGACATCTATATACCTTCCTGAGGAACTTGAGAAAAAAAGTTCCAATGCTTTTCAATTGACCTTTAAAGACCAAATGACAAGAGCAGATTTACCTTAAACTAGAGTTTGTTAAATTACTTGTTGCATTCCCATGGTAAGTCACATAGTATAAGGGAGCTCCTACATCCAGTGTTGCATCTCACAGCTATAACATTTTTCGACACAGGAAGTTACATGAACAGACTAATTTGGTAAACACTAACTTGCAGCATCCACAAACGACCTCACAAACAAAAAGCAAATAGTTAAAAGAATATTACCTTGCAATGGGTGATTAATCAAGAGAGGAAACCGTAGTGACGATTCTTGAACAGACACATACATATGCTATCAAGCTTAACACGAATCCCTAGTAAAATACCGTGTTGAAAACCATCTATAGACACCAAGAGGGAAACAATAATTCCAATGTTAAGGTGGATCATAAGTAAATTGCAACAGCTACAAGACTGCAATGCATTTAGTTTCTCACTTAAGCAAGAAACTTGCCAGCTTCTCATTGAAGCAAGAAACTAAGTTGCCACAATTTCTAATTATCAATCATCTTATCATATATTACTAAAATTGGGAAAAAAGTTGAAAGTTGATATACCAAAATAACCCTATAAACTGAGATACTAAAATAACAATTAATATATATATATATATAGTAAAATTTAAGTTGCATTTTAATTTCAACATTGAATGTTACTTCAGTTATTTTAATTATTGGTTACCAGTGAAAGAATAATAAATTAAAAAGCTTTCGGATTTCCTTATGTTACCAATTTAACTAGATAATGAATAATCTTATTTGTTATCTTAATTTTTTCTCACTAATCAACTTATTATAAATGAAATAATCAACCCCTTCTTGACTCCTCGTTAGAAGAAATAATAGAGACAAAGTTTGAAGATTTCTAATAAAGGTATGTTCATTTTTATTTGGTTATTTTCTTTGAATGTTTATGAAAATATATATTCTTTTTTGTGTATTTTTTAAGCACTATCCAATTTTTCTTTTATTGTACTTCTCTGTCTTTGTCAGATAATTATAATGAGCTCAATTTCTATGATGAGGAACCTCAAAAATCATTGCCAAGGATCCTTCCTTCTACATAAGATTTTAGATTTCCCAAATGAATCTATATGTTTGGACCTAATAATATCAAAATGTAACTAATTCTACACTTTAAATATCTAACCATTTTTTGTTGTTTTGATTTTATAGATTCAGACTAGATAATCATTTGTCATTCAACAAAAAAGTTGTTTGAATGCTTGGATTGTTCATGAATTTAAGCCAGTATTATTTCACTTTGAATTTTTTGTAATTTATTTCTATCAGTGTACTATTTGCTTAGGACACACATGCAAAGCACGCGTCCGACAACTAGTTGCATGATAAGCGAGAACACCTGACAACTCAGGTTGAGAAGCCCCTAAAGCATATCTTGACATTTCATCTAACAGCTATGTACATTACTGATAAGTGATAATTGTAATTAGAAATTCCATAAGAGGAAGAGAATTACACTGACTAAAGGAGCAACCGTTCATTTTGAATTGCTCAAGACAGATAAGGAGAAACGGTCATAGGCACTCCAGAAATATTTCTTCTAGTTAAAAAAAAGAAGACAATTAATTGCAAACTAAAACACCTTCCCTCCTCTTAGTCCGGTCTTGGGACCTGGATTTAACAGGTGGAGTTACAAGGGTCACCTAACCACACAATGTAGCAACAAATAAACCATCACTACTGTGAGAAATATTGAGAAAGAATATTATTGAATTGTTGTTTCTACAGTATTACAGAGAGACCCTATTTATAGACACTACAATAGACATCTTTTCTAACTAGAACACTACAATACAATCCTTCTCAAAGTAGGACACTATTCCTATTACTAGTACTATTCATATTCCTATTTTAAGTAGGATTGTATATACCTATTACTATTCTAAGAACTACTACAAATGAAACCGCATGGAGAATTACTATTGGTGCCGAAACAGTATGAGACCAAATAGAACTAACAAAGTAAACTTCAATAAAATTTCATTAAACACAAAGAACAGAGTCGGGGAACAACTTTGAAATAAGATGGATTATACAAAAAGGAAATGAAAACCGGGAGGAACAAACTGTGAAGTGACCTCCAAGGTCTGTCAGAAAAGTCTTTCTGCCCCTCAAAGTTAAGAGGTAAGGTCTACTTACTTCCTACCCTCCCAGACCCCACTTATGCGATCACTTATGGAATTGCACTGAGTATGTCCTTATTGTTGTTGTTGTACAAGTAGACTGGGCTGGGCAGTTAAAGTGGTGGACTTGGCACTGCCCTTCTAGGAAATAAGTGAAGAAGAAAATTACACGTCAAAACCGAAATTCTTAGTCGTGTGCTAGAAAAGTACTGTATTCCATTATCTTCCAAAATTCTCAACTTAAAATTGGAGAACCGAACAGACTCATAGTGCTGGTACGTTGTTGCAAACCTCGTTGAAGAAAAGTCTCTGTAAGAATACTATGGAACATTCTCATAACTTAATTTGGAGATTGTTGTGCTAAACAAATAATGAAATTCTCCCACATATGTTTTGATGTGACTAGCAAAACATGACCTTCAAATGAAAAGATACTACTTGGAAGATACATAGCAGCTAAAAAGTAAAAATGTCAAGACAACTTTTGAGCCATGGCTAGTGCAAAACATGACTTCAAATGACAAGATATTACTTCATAGATGCATAGCAGATGAAAAATAAATGTCATGGCTCCCAACTGGTCCTAATCTTGTTATGAGATTGCCCAAGGGGTAATTGTGCAATGGAAGAACCGCTGGACCAGAACGTGAAAATCAATTCTATCTTACAACTCAACATACATCTCATACCATGAAGAAGTTGCATTTATGAACTCCACAATTTCATAGCACCACTAAAAATGTATATGTAATATCTAGAAAGCAGATTCTCCAGTTCTGGGACTACAAAGTATCTTCACAAAGAGACAACAATATGTACCCTGAAATCAACTTTTTGCACCAATTCCAACACTACACATGGAATCTTGGTCCTTCCCTGTTCTCGCATCTGCCAAATTCCGGGATGTTTCATCAAATGCTTCTTCCAGAGTTAAACTTCCATAGTCCATGTTTTGAGAAAAAATATCAACTTGTTTCCCCTGAACTCAGAGCTTTATCACATCCAAGATACTAACCGACAGATACCAATCCCAAATCAAAAGAGACCAAATAAGCTTGTGAAATAAGCCAAACAATGAGACACCCAACTCATCATAAAACCCAAAACAGAAGCTACTTCTCACCTATACTCATTAGAATAATACATATACACCACCTACATTCAGTAACTGCATTCCATACATGTGACAGGAGACAATAATTTTGAGAACATTCAGTTCTTACTCGATAGTTAAACTCAATCACCGACACTGCCGCCTGGATAGAACACTCATCCTCCATAAACTGCAACGAGCATATAGATTGATAAATACTACACGTTATAGGAGAAAGCACATTAGATTAGTACCGAGTGACCAGAACACTCAAGTGTAATTGAACACACACCCGCACAAAATAACCAGAAGCCCTTGTAATGTTGATCCAAAACAGATATTCAGATACTTCAAAACATGCAAAAAAACAGGTCAATGTATAAACAGGAATCCAAGTGATCATACCAGGACCTTGTCCTGTTTAAGATGCTTCAAAGTCCACATCATACCACAACCTTTTTCTGTTAACATGCTCCACAACAACGGATCACCATCCTCCCAACTTCTCACCTCTTCTGGAAGGAACTGAATTTGTGTATTTTAACCTAAAAAAGTATGTCCTTTAATCCTAGCGATATCAAAGTAGCTACAAGAACTTGAGAGAAAAGAGAAATACCCCATTCAGTGGCCATATTTAGAAAAGAAAAACCACGACAAACTGAATCCAAAGCATACTAGCTACTTCTAGATAATACCTTCCTCAACTTCAAAAACAGTACACTCACATCTGTAGTGTTGTTTTACAGGTAAGTGATCCAAATTTTACAGGTAAGTGATCCAAATCAGCAAATACAACAAATACTAAAACAGGAGTCGGACATTATCAAAACCACTGTAAATGACTATAACAGACTGCTACCTAGAAACTCCTTAATCTTGTTCCTTCTCATGTTTGGTGCATGAACCCACCTAACTAATTGTGTGGATAACACCCTATCACTATGCAACTAATACTTGCTCATGGTAGATAACACACAAAAATTCCACTACTCTAGCACACGTACTCCATTTAGACCTTCTGGGTAGATAAAGAAAACCAGGCGACTTGGGATGAAGACCTCTTCATGTTGAATGTGCTAATCGCCTAGCAACATGAAATACAGAGAGCAACATCTACAAGGGAAGACTAAGAAACTTCTACTGAATAGTATTCCAGAGGAGAAGATGCAAGAAAAGACAATCTGCTGCAGGTATCACATATGAGGTTTACTTCGTTACAAAGACTATTGACATCCAACAACAGAAACTGCATGGTCTATACCCTTACCATCATTACCTCGTGTAGAACCAGAAAGAAATTGGCATAACCTAAACAGGAAGTCCTTGAATGCCTCAAGAAACCAACAAAAGTGAGAATTTACAGCAAAGTCAAACTTCAAAATATATCTGCAAACCTAGAAAGAAATTCCCTGCATCATAAGCTCACCCTTCGGATCTCACGTCCGGCACAGGAGGCCAAGCATCCTGCGAGACATTCTTTTCTATAAACAGATCTGCTCATTCCATACCTATATAGCAAAATCAGAGAACTTACGGATGCAACTGCACCAACAAATCCAGATATATCCAATTCTGTAAATGACCAAAAATCATCATCGTCTCCGGTCATCAGGAAAATGAACACACAAGACTGGTTGCACTATGGCAGAAACCTCAAGAAAAACATCCTTGACCCCGCCGCCCAAATTTCCAACAGCCACAACCAAAGAGCAGAAACCTGCATCAGGGAGAAAATTAAAGCCTACCAGATCAGATAAGACAACAGGCAGGAGAAAAGAACTCGAGTTGCCAGCCCTCCCCATTCCAATCAAGCAGGGATGTTTGTAGAGGGAAGCAGGATGGAATGAATGACTACAAGATTAAGTAGAAATATCTACTCCAAACCACCAAAGATAGTTGCAGCTTTGTGAAAACATGCAAGATTATGTCATCAAAATCGACAGCTCTACCCCCATTAGGGGGAGGGGGAGAAAGAAGATAGGTCTAACCGAAACCTATTACACAGAGAATTCCAAGAGAACTCCTACGAACCTGAACGCCTGAACTCATGGTCGGATCCCTCTTTACCAAAATTCATTTTCTAAGATTATAGCTGGTAGTAGAACATGACAAGAACAAAGTAACAAAACCATCCGCGAAGGATCTGTGAAGTGACAATTGGCTGAACAACTTATCTGTTAAGCGACATTTTACGAAGTGTACCATGTGTGAAGTGACATTGACTAAATATATATCAATGATATAGCAAGAACACGGAGAATGACAGAACAAAACTCACCTAGAATCAGTGGCAATTTCAAACGTATTAAGAGAATTAGTATGAAGCTTAACTAGGAAGAGTATTTAGAAGAACAAGATTCAAGGAAAAACTTCCAAACTTGCACGATGATCAAAATGGCAACTTCAACCATACTTAGAAAATTAGTATAAAGTTTAACTCGGAAGAGTATTTACAAGAACAAGATTGATTGAAAAACTTCCCAACTTGCTCTATGATCTGATATGTAGCGAATTTAGAATGGTATCTCATGTGCAGTTGAGATCTTTTAGATCCCTATGGCTTGCTACAGTGATGCTTGACCAAGCCACACCCACACTGATACATTGATCTCCCACATGTAGTTCAATCCCAGCGGACAAGACGGGAACTACCCTTGGAGAAAACCAGACACGATAATTTCCGTGGATATTCACAAAGATGCAAATGTTTTTTTCTTTTGTAATACATCAAGTGATGTATTAGACTTGCTCCTCATACAAGGATCAACCAACAATAAGCTATTTTGATGAATTAGACCTGAACATCTTAAATTTGTGTAGAACTCTAGTAATGCATCAGAAAAAGAGACTAAAAGGACATCATAAGCAACAACTCAAACAAAAATGCTACGTACCATGTGATGATGAGATCTCACCCCCTTCCATGCCCCTCTCTAGTATGAAACTAGACCTATTACTTTCTAGAATAAACGACCATACAGGTATTGCTTAGAGTATGCCCCTCACATGACAACATGGATACAGCTTAGAGTAGCCTGACATATGGTATCACGATATTTTCTAATCCCCATTAATTTTTGTTTGGAACATCAATCAACATGAATGCGCTTTCCAGCGGAAGCAAAAAATGTTACAATTTGAGCACGTCAGTTATATACCTTCCTGAGGAACCTGAAAAAACAAGTTCCAATGCTTTTCAATTGACCTTTAAAGACCAAAAGACGAGATCATACTTCACCTTACACTAGAGGTTGTCAAATTACCTGTTGCACTCCCACAGTAAGTCACATGGTATAAGGGAGATCCTGCATCCAGTGTTGCATCTCACAGCTGTAACATTGTTCGACACAGGAACTTAGATGAACGGACTGCAGCATCCACGAACGACCTCACAAACAAAAAGCAAACAGTTAAAAAGAGTATCAGCTTGCAATGGGTGATCAATCAATAGAGAAAAGCTTTAACAGTGATAATTCTTGAAGAGACACGTCGAAACTTGCAATGGGTGATCAATCAAGAGAGAAAAGCACAGTGATGATTCTTGAACAGACACATCCATGTGTTGCATGACACACACATGATCCCTGAATAGGCACATGCATACGCTGTCAGGCTTAACACGAATCCCTAGTTGAGTACCTTGTTGGAAACCATCTATAGACACCAATGAGGGAAACACTAATTCCAATGTTAAGGTGGATCATAAATAAATTGCAAAGCTGCAATGCATTTAGTTTCTCACTGAAGCAAGAAACTAAGCTGCCACAATTTTAAATTTTACCAATTGCATGATAAGTGAGAACACCTGACCATTCAGGTTGACAATCCCCTAAGGCATCTCTTGACATTTCATCTCACAACTATGTACATTACTGATAAATGATAATTGTAATTAGAGATGTCATAAGACGAAGAGAATTGCACTGGCTAAAGGAGCACATGCTCCATTTGAATTGCTCAAGACAAGTAAGGAGAAACGATCATCATAGGCACTCCAGAAACATTTCTTCTAATTAAAAAAAAACAGACAATTAATTGCAAACTAAAGCACCTTCCCTCCTCCTTGGTCCGGGCTTGGGACCGGTTGATTTAACAGGCGGAGTTACAAGGGTCACCTAAACACACAATGTAGCAACAAATAAACCAACACTACTACAAAAAAAACCACAAGGAGAACTACTATTGGTGCCGAAACAATGCAAAATCATATAGCACTAACAAAATAAACTTCAATAAAATGCATTCAACTTAAACACAAAGAACAGAGTCGAGCAACAACTTTGGAATAAGATGGATTATACAAAAAGGAAATGAAGACCAGGAGGAAGACTGTGAAGTGACGGCAATAGGTCTACTTACGGCCTACCCTCCCAGACCCCACTTATGCGATCACTTATGGAATTGCACTGCGTATGTTTTTGTTGTTGTACAAGTAGACTGGGCAGTTAAAGAAGACTTGGCACTGCCCTTCTAGGTAAGAAGTGAAGGAGAAAATTCCACGTCAAAATGAAATTCTTAGTCGTGGTGCAAGAAAAGTACTGTATTGCATTATCTTGTAAAATTCTCAACACTAAAAACTTAGAGAACCAAACAGACACATAGTGCTCGTACATTGTTGCAACCCTCGTTGAAGAAAAGTTTATGTTGGATACTATGGAACATTCTCACAACTTTATTTGGAGACTGTTGTGCTAGACAAATAATGAAATTCCCCCACATATGATGTCACGTGATAGACAACTTTTGGCCCCTGACCAGCAAAACATGACTTCAAATGACAAGATACTCCTTGGGAGATGCATAAGAGCTAAAATGTAAGAATGTCAAGACAACTATTGGGCCCTGGCTAGTGCAAAACATGACTTCAAATGACCAGATATTCCTTCATAGATGCATAGCAGACAAAAAATAACAATGTCATAGCTCCAACTGGTCCTAGCCTCTTTATGAGATCGGCCAAGGGGTAGTTGTGCAATGGAAGAAACGCTGGACCAGAACATGAAAATCAATTCTATCTTACAACTCAACATACATCTCGTACCATGAAGAAGTTGCATTCGTAAACTCAACAATTTCATAGCACCTTCAACAACTAAAAATAATATGTCATATCCAGAAAGCAGATTCTCCAGTTCTGGGGCTACAAAGTATCTTCACAAAGAGAGAACAATATGTACCCTGAAATCAACTTTTTGCACCAGTTCCATCACTACACACATGGAATTTTGGTCCTTCCCTGTTCTCGCATCTGCCCAATTCCTGGATGTTTCATCAAGTGCTTCTTCCAGAGTTAAAACTTCCATTAGTTCATGTTTTGAGGAAAAGTATCTCCTTGTTTTCCCTGAACTCAAAGCTTTATCGCATCGAAGATACTAATTCCACAAATACCAATCCCAACTCAAAAGAGACCAAATAAGCTTGTGAGATAAGCCAAAGAATGACACACCCAACTCATCTCATAACAACCCAAAACAGAAATCTACTTCTCACCTACATTCATTAGAATATTACCTATACACCACCTATATTTAGCAACTGCATTCCATACATGTGAGAGGAGACAATAATTTTGAGAACATTCAGTGCTTACTCGACAGTTAAAAATCAATCACCGACACAGCCGCCTGAATAGAACACTCATTCTCCATAAACTGCAAGGTGCACATAGATTAATAAATTACTACACATAGTAGGAGAAAGCACATTAGATTACTCACTCAAGTGTAATTGAACACACACCCACACAAAATAACCAGAAGCCCTTGTAACGTTTTGATCCAAAACAAATATTCAAATACTTCAAAACATGAAAAAATGACTAGAACAGATCAATGTATAAACAGGAATCCAAGTGATCATACCACCAGAAGCCCTTGTAATGTTGATCCAAATCAAATATTCAAATACTTCCAAACATGCAAAAATGACTAGAACAGGTCAATGTATAAGCAGGAATCCAAGTGATCATACCAGGACCTTGTCCTGTTCAAGATACTCCAAAGTCCACATCATACCACAACCTTTTACTGTTAACATGCTCCACAACAGCCGATTGACCATCCTCCCAACTTCTCACCTCTTCTGGAGAGAACTCAATTTGTGTATTTTAACCTAAAATATCGAAAGAAGAGTTTTCTGGCAAATGGCAGTTTTTTTTTATTCTCTATTTATACTGTGGATAGTCTATTTTTTAGAGCGAGCGCGAATTGGATGATTCAACAAACAATTCATCAGTTGTTGAATCATGCCATTTTGCTGATTCAACTTTCTTCCTTCTCAGGTATATTCTAATATCACTCTTTCAGTGTTTAAAAAATGCTTCAGCTGAGGAATCATGCTATTTACATGATTCAACTTACTCTTCTCAGGAAGCTCCTAATCTCACTGGCAGTTGAATCATGTCATTTAGGTGATTGATTCCACTTACATCAGTGTATGTAATACGAATACTAACATCACAGGAAGGAAGTTTGACTATTTTGTAGGGCTGCTCTCTTCTGCGTCGACTGCTATGTGCTAAAGGCTGCGGAATAAGAGCGGTAAGGCTTTCTGGATTCAACCCATCTTTTCTGGGCCTTGAATATTAAGCCCAATCTGTGGTTTTGTCATACAATAAGATCCAATTTGTTTGGACTCGTTAGGTTTGGCCCATTACCTTGAGTTAGGCCGAACGTGTACACCTTTTGTCATGAAGATGTGATCTTATCCACCGATGGGTCCAGGCCTCATGCTTCGAGTTGTGAGGCAATCCAGAGACAAGAACGATTTGGTTCCAGAGGTCATGCTTTGTCTTTGCCAAGTTGAATAAAGCAGTTCGACTGCACGCAGGTTTGGGTTTTTAGGTGAGTTCCGTGCATCCAATCCATTTGTAGCAGAATTTCCACATATATAGGGGTAAGACTCGGATTAGAGATTATATAGAAGCACCCCCAACCCCCTTCTTTTTCCTTCCTTCGAGTAGGTCCGCTCACTGGAAAGTTAGGTCAACAGAAAGGTTCCATCCTCCAAGGAATATCGTAGAACAGCCGAAAGGCGATGACATTCCTTGTGGCAAGAGTCGACCTCTAGGGTATCGAGGAAGGTTGGAGAATATAGGTTACAGAGTTCATCAGTCCAAGTCTCAGAAGAGAGACTCCTACGCCATCCATTCTTCCAGTATGAACCAGTTAAAGAGCATACATCGTAGAAGACGGAACTAACTTTTCCCCTTTCCTTAGAGTCAAGTGGCCCAAGGGCCCCCTTTCTTTGCCCCTTGGTTCGCTAGCTGACTTGCCAGCGCTTGGATTCTCGAACTCTAAGAGCGGATTTCTGGAATTTGTTCACATCCGATTCGATGGCATCTGTCCGCTTTCTACCCTTTGCAAGCGTGCTACTGACTCGATGGACAAAGTCAAGGAACTGCTTTGCCTCGTCATTGACTTGGATCACATCATCCTGAACTTTTGATCCTATGTCGTCTAAAAGGTATGTCCTTTAATCCTAGCGATATCAAAGTAGCTACAAGAACTTGAGAGAAAAGCGGAACAAAGCTGGACCAACAAGTTTCTCCAAAGCGACATCTCTGAACTGATGACTCTTGAGTCTTGACTGGCAAATTTAGACAACTGGAGCTTCGAGGACGAGAAGTACCCCATTCAGAGTTATCTGGTGAAATTGGACAACTAGAGCTTTAAAAGAAAAAAAATTACCCCACTCAAATTATCTGGCAAATTTGGACAACTGGAACTTAGAAGATAGAAATACCCCATTCAGTGACCATATTTAGAAAAGAAAAACCACGACAAACTGAATCCAAAGCATACTAGCTACTTCAAGATGCTAAAACCTTCCTCAACTTCAAAAATAGTACCACTCACATCTGTAGTGCTGGTTTACAGGTAAGCGATCCAAATCAGCAAATACGACAATTACTTTAAAAACAGGAATCGGACATTATCAAAACAACTGTAAATGACTATAACAGACTGCTTCCTAGAAACTCCTTAATTTTGTCCCTTCTCATGTTTGGTGCATGAACCCACCTAACTAATTGTGTGGATAACACAATATCACTGTGCAACTAATACTCGCTCATGGTAGATAACACAAAATTTCCACTACTCTAGCACACGTACTCCATTTAAAGCTTCTGGTTAGATAAAGAAAACCAGAAGACTTGGGAATGAGACCTCTTTATGTTGAATGACCTAATTGCCTAACAACATGAATTACAGAGAGCAACATCAACAAGGGAAGACTCAGAAACTTCTACTGAATGTGTTCCAGAGGGGAAGATTCAAGAAAAGACGATCTGCTGCAGGTACCAGAGATGAGATTTACTTCATTACAAAGATTATTGACATCCAACAACAGAAACTGCATGGTCTATACCCTTACCATCATTACCTCGTGTAGAACCAGAAAGAAATAGGGATAACCTAAACAGGAAGTCCTTGGATGCCTCAAGACACCAACAAAAGTGAGAATTTACAGCAATGTCAAGCTTCAAAATATATCTGCAAAACTAGAAAGAGATTCCCTGCGTCATAAGCTCACCCTTCGGATCTCACTTCCAGCACAGGAGGCCAAGAATTCTGCCAGACGTTCTTTTCTGCAATTGACAGATCTCCCTCCTCATTCTATACCTACATAGCAAATACAGAAAACTTATGGATGCAAATGCACCAACAAATCCAAACATATCAAATTCTGTAAATACCCGAAAATCATCAACGTCTCCGGTCATCAGGACAATGAACACACAAGACTAGTTGCATTATGGAAGAAACCTAAAAAAAAAACAACCAAAGAGCAGATAAGACAATTGGCAGGAGAAAAGAACTCGAGTTACCAGCCCTCCCATTATAACCAAGCAGGGATGTTTATAGAGGGCAGCAGGATGGAACAGTTGACTACAAGACTAAGTAGAGATATCAACTCCAAACCACCAAAGGCAGTTGCAGCTTTGTGAAAACATGTAATATCATGTCATCAAAAATCGACAGCTCTACCCCCACTAGGGGAAGGGGGAGAGAGTAGATAGGTCTAACCGAAACTTGATTACACGGAGAATTCCAAGAGAACTCCTAAGAATGCCTGAAGTCATGGTCAGATCCCTCTTAACAAAATATCGTTTTCCAAGTTTATAGCTGGTAGTAGAACATGACAAGAACAAAGTAACGAAACCATCAGTGAAGGATCTGTGAAGTGACAATTGCCTGAACAATTTATCTGTTTAGCGACATTTTACGAAGTATACCATGTGTGAAGTGACATTGACTAAATATATATCAACGATATAGCAAGAACACATAGAATGACAGAACAAAACTTGCCTATAATCAATGGCAATTTCAACCGTGTTAAGAAATCAGTACAAAGCTTAACTATTAGAAGAACAAGATTCATGGAAAACTTCCAAACTTGCATGATGATCAAAATAGCAACTTCAACCATATTATGAAAATTAGTACAAAGCTTAACTCGGAAGAGTATTTACAAGAACAAGATTCATCGAAAAACTTCCCCAACTTGCATATTGATCTGATATGTAATGAATTTAGAAGGGTATCTCATGAGAAGATCTTTTACACAAAAAAAAAATAGGTACCATTGCGTATTAGCATAAAGAGTGTACATAACCTGTTACACAACATATGAGCCAAGTTTTATACTTGATATGTTCCAGATTGAGTGAATTCCTACTTCTTTGGTGCAAAGACTGTTCAAAATGGCAATGTTTTATGGATAAAAAAAGAGTGCAAGAGCTCTCTCTTTATATTTAAGTTTTACATAATAGCTAACTGCCTGAAGCAACTCCTCAAATGATTGGATGTCTGAACATAATGTACACATGTTTCCAAAAATAAAGGTACGGGATAGATCTCCAAAAAGAAAAAGAGATTTCATTTACCTAACAACAGTTAGTCTGAAAATCGTAGTGATTATAGCTGCAGATAAGTTCACCCAATAAATGAACCACAAATTGAATGAGAGAGTCGTTAGATGGTGTCCGTATGTAAAGCTATAGTTGGTCGATGGAAAAAACCTAGAACACCACATGAAAAGGGAAGAATCAGATGCCAACTTTTACCATTTTTGCAACTATAAATATGTTGTCACTATTGAAATCCAAAATCAATTTTTTTTGTTCTCTAATTTCAATTGGCTAGATCTATGACCATAGTTATTTAAGTAATAATGAGCAAATTCTGGGCTTTCCTTACTCATCTCCATGCTGCTCTTACCGGGTACTAATTATTAATTACCTCTTCCATATCTCAACCAGGGCTTAAATAATCTTTTTCATCTAACATGATCAATAATTTCTATTATTCCTTTTCATCTAATAAACATGCAGGCCGTTGTGATGCTACTCTATCCTCTAATTCATCTGTTGACTTCTTAAAAGATTTGTTGTATATATAATCGTGCATGAAAAGTTCAATTATCCAGTGTCCTAATCTTTTTTGCTTTTTTTCGTTAGTGTAGATATGCATCAGTAGTACGGGTCATGACCATGTACTGTAACCACCACTGACATTTACAATTTTCAGCTAACAACTAGAAGAGCACCACTTCAAGGAGAGAGTGGTGAGAAAAGATCATACTGATTAGTCGAGATAACCAAACTGAAAATCAGAAATTTGACACACACAGGAGCTTGAACCAAATGAAACCTCAACAAAAATTAACAAACAAAGGCTCCTCCACGAAAAGAAGAAACTTAGAGAGACCACAACTGCAAGCACGAAAAGAAGGAAAAGTTTAAGTGCAAAGCTGGCAAAACCCAAACCACTTGGGAATCACTAGAAATGACGTCGACAATATTTACAAACCCCTTTTTCTCGAAAGCCCTAACGATATCCAGATGTCAGTGCAAGAACCTAAACTACCAGCTTACTGAACACTGACCTTTTAAATTTCCAAGTCTAATCCTCCAATACTGTTTATGTGGTATATACACCACCTTCCTTCCAACAGACAAAACTCAAACTGGTGATGAGCAAAAAGAAAATGGAAGCAGAGAAAATACGCAGAAAGAACACAAATGTAGATGAGCACTTCACGAGGCTATGAAAAGATCCAGAATTGAGTGAGTACATACAAGATGTCCGCACCCATAAGGGACCTGGATCTGACAAAACAAAAGCATCTGGACTAAAAGCTGAAAATGCACTTCTGGAAAGAGATTATAGTTGAAAACATCTGCTTAACAGCACTTCTGACAATGAGATGAGGGTATCTCTATGACCAGGGAAGAAAACTGAATCGAAGAGCTACATATTCTTAACAGCACTTCTGACAATGAGATAAGGGAATCTCTATGACCAGGGAAGAAAACTGAATTGAAGAGCTAGATATTAATACAAAGCCTGAACAATGGAAACTTCAACACAAAGACAAACAAGGCTGCTCCATGAAAGGAAGACTTCATGGATATGGGAAGACCCAACAACAGCTGGGGCACCAAAAGAAGGGAACAGTTAAAGTGTGAGGCTGTGAGCTGTGAAACCCATTCCACATAAGTGAGATTACTAGAGATGCCAGATAAAACTGCATAACTCCCTTGCCAGTTCTTGGGGATATCCACATTGCAGTGCAAGCACCAATATGGCAAAGAAACAGGGTGCACAAGGGAAGGACACACTGAAACCAAACTTCAAAATTACCAAATCTGACCCCTTCACGGGTCACCATCTGGTCTACAAACATGCATCCAAACAAACAAAATCAAGTGGCATGATAAACATAAGAAAATAGAAGCAGAGATTCTAGTTAGCTAGAACACCACAGTGGAGGAGATCTTAGGTCCATAAGAAATCTAAAATTGAGTTTGGATACTTCTCAGGTGTCCACAACAATGTCCAATGTCCACAACAATCAGCGATCATGTCATATGGGTCATCCAAGAAAATAATCATCTAGATTAAAAACTTTATGGCTTCAGAGTACAACATACACTAAAAAAATATCCATGTTGAGCACTTCCATTAGTTTTGAAAGAGATAAGGGACCCGCTGATTAGGAAGGAACTGCATTGAAGTTCATGCTCTGGAAGACCCGGACAGTTACATGCACAAAAAGAACATCACAGGTGATGGGAACCCATACCACACAGATCACTCGAGATGCCAAACAAGGTAAGATTGCAAAGCACCCTTTTCTTGATGCCTGATGATATCCAATATCCAAATTGCAGTGTAAGCACCAAAATGGCAACAAGCATGGTCCTCAGGAATGCACACCGAAACCAAACTACAAAATTTCCAAATATTATCCTCTTACTACCACCATGTGGCCTACGAACATTCATCCAGCCAAACTAAATCAACTGGTAGGCTAAACGAAATCAGAGGAAGTGAGTAGCGAGAACACGATAAGTGTTACTAGGCCATCAAAAGATCCATGATTGAGTTTGAATACAATTATCATGAATTGTCGATAGCCATGGAGATCTCATCAGAGTATCAGTTGGATCACCAAAGAACATAAGCATCTGGATTGTTAAAAAACAAATATGGCAACAAAATAAACACCAGTGAAGCAGTTTGACAACAGAGAAGGGAACCATTCTGATTAGGCAAGAAAACTGAATTGAAGATCTCAATAATCATTAGAAGCATCAACCAGAAAACCTCAAACACAAATTGACAGACCAGGCCACTCCATGTAAAGAAGAATCTATGGGTCTGTAAGACCCAGCGGCTGCAAACACAAAAACAATGGAGCAGTCTAAGTGCAAAACTGGTGACACCCATACCACCCCCGACAAGATTAAAAACTGCCTTCTTTCAAAGCCTGATAATCTCCAGATAGTAGTGCAAGCACCAACATGGCCACAAGAAACAGGGTGCACAAGAATGCACGCTGGACACCAATCTTCTAAGTATAACTTTCACCATACATCCATCCAACAAACAAAATCAAGCTATCGGAATACAAGGAGAAAAAAGCAGAGAAGATGAGCACCGAGAACACCAAAAGAGAGGACCATTCATGAGCTTTCAAAAGATCCAAATTTGAGTACAACAATAGTTTTGACAAAGACAAAAGAGTCATTAGGGAAGAAAAACTGAATTGAAGAATTCGCTGCTTTGTAAGACCAAATAGCTGCAAGCAAAGGAATTTAGGAGAGAGTTGCGTGCAAAGCTGACGAAACCCGCAACAAAATGGCAGAGACAGATTGCAACACTCGTCTTCTCAAAGCACCCCTCTATCAAAGCCTGACAATATTCAGATTGCAGTGCAAGCACAAAAATTGCGAAGTAACAGGATGCACAGGAACAAATACCAAATGTCAAAGCCTGATCACATCATCAATCTTCAAAAAAATTCAAATCTAATCCTCTCAACTGTCATCAATCCAACAAACACAAGCTGGGGTGATGATGCAGCAAGAAACAGGAAGCAGAGAGAATACCAAAAGTGAGGAGTAAGAGGCAACCCACTTAACGGGGCTGTCAAGAGATCCAGGATTGAGTTTTGACTATTTACCAAGTCTCAATAAGACCATATACAAAATTACACATCAAGCACCAGGAATCTCATCAATTGGATCATCTAAGAACATAAGCATCTGGACAAAAACTAAAAAGGGCTGCAGAAAGCAACACAGAAGAATGCAAGAAAACTTATTTTAGTTGGGAACTTCCATACAGCAGTAATTTTTGATAAAGAGAGGAAGTACTCTGATTGGTGAAGAAAACAGAAATGAGAATCTCAGTACTCGTAAAAACATGAACAAAAGAAACCTCAACACAGTGGCCAAACAATGTCCCTCCATCAAAAGAATAATTCATTGCTTTGTCAGACCCAACTACAAGAACAAGAAGAAGGGACCAGTTAAGTACAAAGCTGACAAAATCCATATCACCTAAGAAATCACTAGATATGCAAGAGACAAGATCGAAAACCCCAATTTTGGTCGAAGCCTAGCAATATCCATCTTGGAGTTGCAAGCACCAAAAGGACCAAGAAACAAGGTTCACAGGAATGAATACCGGATACAAGCCATTGAAGTTCCCAAAACTAATCCTCTATTACTATCACCGTGTGGTCCACACATTTATTCACCACTAAACAAAACAAAGTTGGCATGATAACCATGGGAAAACAGCAGAGAAGATCAAGTAGCTAGATCCAGAATTGACTTTTGACTTTATCTGATGCCCATAACACCATAAAAGACATCCGGATCATCAAAGAACACGAGCATCTGACTGGCAGCAGAACACACTTGTGAAAGAATTATCATAGTTGAGAACTTCTATAACGCACTTCTATTACACACCTGTTTTGACAAAGCTTTGAGAAACTGAAAATCCACTATCTATATAGTCAAAAGACCTGGGAACTGATGCATCTTCCCCAACCACAAACACTGGGGCAAGACACTTCTTCCTGTAGAACCACTTGCACCTAGATGCCCATCCATGTATTCTCGTCAGCTAACAATGACATCCACTGATGACCAAACCAAATAAGAAGCTAAAAAGAAGTTGATGCGAGGAGACACATGATTAGCATTAGCAATAGCATTAAAAATTGAAGTCAAGATATAAAATCCAATAGTATTCTTGATAACTAATAATGACATCCACTGATGACCTAACCAAATAAAAAGGTAAAAGAAGTTGATGCGAGGAGACACATGATTAGCATTAGCATTAAAAATGGAAGTCAAGATATCAAATCCAAACAGATAGCTCCATTGTATGGCGGTGACATAGTCTAGAATAGCAGGTCCAAGTAGGCCCTGGAGCCAAATTCCAGTATTCTGATTCAATAAAAGGAAATTGCTAGGTTTTATAGTAGTAAATAGTTAAGACAGAACAATGTACACCAACATGAATCCTCACAACAAAAACCTCATACTTCTCAGAACCTGGAAGCAAACATGAAAATGCATGCCCATAACACCATAAAAGACATCAGGATCATCAAAGAACACAAGCATCTTACTGGCAGCAGAACACACCGGTGAAAGAATTATCATAGTTGAGAACTTCTATAACGCACTTCTATAACGCACCTGTTTTGACAAAGCTTTGAGAAACTGAAAATCCACTACCTATATAGTCAAAGACTTGGGAACTGATGCATCTTCCCCAACCACAAACACCGGGGGAAGACACTTTTTCCTGTAGAACCACTTGCACCTAGATGCCCATCCATGTATTCTTGACAGCTAAGAATGACATCCACTGATGACCAAACCATATAAGAAGCTAAAAGAAGTTGATGTGAGGAGACACATGACTAGCATTAGCATTAGCATTAGCATTTAAAATGGAAGTCAAAATATAAAATCCGAACGTATTTTTGATAACTAAGAATGATAACTAAGAATGACATCAGACCAAACCAAATAAGAAGGTAAAAGAAATTGATGCGAGGAGACACATGATTAGAATTAGCATTAGCATTAAAAATGGAAATCAAGATATCAAATCCAAACTGATAGCTCCATTGTATGGTTGTGACATATAGGTCTAGAATAGCAGATCCAAGTAGGCCATGGAGCCAAATTCCAGTATTCTGAATTCCAGTATTCTGATTCAACAAAAAGGAAATTGCTAGGTTTTATAGAACTAAATAGTTAGACAGAACAATGTACACCAACACATGAATCCTCACAACAAAAACCTCATACTTCCCAGAACCTGGAAGCAAACATGAAATTGCATCTATAATGGAACCAGGTTCTAATTTCCAATAACATTGGAAATCAATCAAAAGGATTTCCAATACAAAACTAATCCTCTATTACTATCACCATGTGGTGGTCTACACATTCATTCAGCAATACAAAATCAAACTGGCGTAATAACAAAGGAAAAACGGCAGAGAAGATAAGTAGTTAGGACAGAAAAAACAGAGAAGCACATTTTGACTTCTGACATTTTCCGGTACCTGTAACACCTTAAAAGACAGCAGGATCATCAAAGAACACAACTAAGAACTAAAACTGGCAGCAGAACACACAATACACACTTGTGAAAAGAAATATCATAGTTGAGAACTTCCATATCATACCAGTTTTGGATAAAGCTTTGAGAGACTGAAAAATCCAAGACACATAGTCAAAAGGCCTGGGAACTACGGCATCTTTCCCGACCGATCAGCGAAGCAAGACACTTACTCCAAAGAACTAAAACTGGCAGCAGAACACACAATACACACTACTGAAAAGAAATATCATAGTTGAGAACTTCCAAAGCTTTGAGAGACTGAAAAATCCAAGACACATAGTCAAAGGCCTAGGAACTACTGCATCTTCCCGACCAATCAGCGAAGCAAGACACTTACTCCTGTAGAACCACTTGCACTTAGATGCCCCATCCATGTATTAATTGAAGGCCAAACCAACTAAGAACGTAAAAGAAGTTGATGCGTAGAGACACATGATTAGCATAAAAAATTATGATTCAAGATGGAACTCAAGATATCAAATCCAAAATGATAGCTTGTGACACATAAGTCTGCAACAGAAGATCTAAATAGGCCTGGGGAGCTAAATTTCCAAGTTCTAAGCAAAAAGCCACAAAGGTTGACGATAACAGCTAAATACTTTATGCGAGAGGGTACAGCCCTTGATCATGTAATTATTATCTTCAATATTGAGGGCCAATGTAAAACCTTTATTATCTTCAATATTAAGGGCCAAGTTAAAACCTTTATAGTAGATTGAAAGGAAGAATAGACACATATGGAAGTACCCCACAAAAAATGGCTGTATCTGTGAAATATACTCTTGCTCACAAATCTGTTGTCTACTCGTATTCCGAATCAATCAAAAGAATTGCAATGCACTATATAATACACAAGAAACGAGAATCAAAAGGATTGCAATGCACTATATATACCCAGTGTCTTGATCAACAACAACTACCCATATCGACAATCAAACACTGCGTACAGAGAACCAAAACCAAAACGAACAGGAATGGAATAATCACCCATATCTTTGATCAAACAATAATAATCATCCATTATCATGATCCACAATAATTATACATCATCATCTTCACCATACCAATAATTACCCATATGTTAAATCATACAATAAACCCAGATGTTAATCATACAATAAATTACCCGGTATCTTGATCAAACACAGCTTATATCTCAAGATATCATCGAAAGAACACCGAATCACAGAAAAAAGTACAACTTGAACAAAAGCAAACCGGGATGGAATAATTGCCTTGTATTTATAGGTTTGAGGAATATGACAGACGGCTACGATTAAGCGGTGGAAATAAGACTTGCGCGGATGTATTTGATCAAAGGCGGTGGAATTGGGTCGGTGCCGTTCACTACTAAATTTATCATTATCATTATTTTTTATATATATAAATGTGGATAACCACATACTCCCTCCGTCCCTTTTTAGTTGTCCACTTTAGAAATGGCACACAGATTAAGGCAACAATGATTAGCACAGTGAAGTTACAATTTTACCCTTATGACAACTTTTCACTTCAAAATTACAACCACTTATTTGAATTCAAGTGAAATAAATTGGAGGAAAACAACATACACTTTTACAATTTTCAAGAAGTGTAAATAAGGGTATAATAGGAAAAAATTTGTTGTCCTTTCTTGATTTGTCAAAATGGACAACTAAATAGGGACAACCAAAAAAGGAAATATGGACAAGTAAATAGGGACGGAGGGAGTAGCTGATTAGGAGTGTGCAAAAATTGAACCGTCCAATAAATCGAATCGAAAAAAATGTTATTGGTTTATTGCTATTGAATTATTGGGTTAACGGATTTTTAATGGTATTATAAAAAAAAATTATCGGATTATCGATTTGGTATCGGTTTTTAGTATTGAATTATTGGGTAAACCGATTACACATTAAGACAATAGTAAATTACTACTATACCCTTCATAAATATTAAATATTAATAATTTAATATAATAAAACACTATATCAGTACTCTACACTACGGTCTACGCACTTCACATGTCACAGTACTTCTACTTCACGTCAGAAATTTCATATTATATTTTGGTTGTAACATGTTATCGTAGCCTTCATACTACATCTACTCTTATTAATGCAGTTTCTCATTATATTTCTTGTTTCATTAAATCAAAGCATTTACAACCGATTTGCTTGTCTCACTGTATCGTGTCAAATTGTTAGGGAAATGAAAAATCATATATTTATTTTATGAGCATTTTCTTATTGGGTAAACTGAAAATCGAACCGTTAATGAATAAAATCGATAAATCGATAAAGAATATCTTATTGGTTTAGCTTATTTAAAAACCAAAAATCGATAAAATTAATCGATAATACATAAAACTGAACCGAACCGAACGATGCACACTCTTACCGCCGATGGTCAACATGGTTGCATGATCTGTGTGGTCCCCCCCCCTCCCCCCACACACACATATAAAAAGGGACAAAATAAGTAACATGTATTATTTAATTTGAAAACTACGTAAAAAGTATTGCATATCTCAATAATTAACAACATTTGATTGACACTTGAAATTCTATATGTGCAACATATATTTATTGGGATAAGGAAAGTACCATATATTATTTAAAAATTACGTCAAAAGTATTATAAATTACAATAATCAACAACTTAAAATATTTAAAAATCATATTAAAATTTAATTGACTCTCTAAAGCTTATTTATGTCACATAAAGTGAGACAATAAAATAACAGATAGTGGGCTCGTGCTATCACAGATACTTGTGTCTAGTTTATATATATATATAAAATTTTATTTTCATTCTAAATAAGTGGGAGTGCCCTCATTACTACCAAACCAATTAACAACCTCCACATGGGTTGGACGACGAAGGGTAGTAACATAATAAATCAAAAAAGAGGTGTAATGACCCGAAATCGGAAGGTCCTTTTAGTAAATTTTTATAACGTTACTATTTTACTCCTTCCGATAGTTGGCTAAGTCATTTTTAATTAGTCGGTGAAGTTGGTTTGAAAATTTTGAACCATTCAATAACTGAGGTTATTAAATTGATGGGTAGTTTTTAATTAATTAATTTAAGTGTAATTTTCATATATGACATAATAAGTACTATTTTCAAGCTATAGCAGTAGATTTAGACTTTCAAGCTATAGCATTAAAAATTTCAGGTTATAACAAATTCACAAAAAAAAAGTTTTTATTAATTAGGAAAAAACTTAAAAAATAAATAAAAAGATAAACGAAAATTTAAAAAAAACGGAATTAGAAATAATAAAGTAAAAAACTGAAATTGTGGCCTGTAATTTAATTTGAACTTATTGTAGATAATTAATGATTAGCATGAAATAAGGGATCCAAACAAATTAACAATATTTTTTATCCTTAATTCACTCAAAAATCAGTTAAAATAAAATAAAAAATCAGATCATATCCTTTTTTTCTTCAACGTTTCTCTCTCTTAATTCTTCAGCCTAAAATTACCAGAATCGAGTATTGAAGGTTTTTTTCATTCAAAAAAATTAATTTTATTTAGATGGACAATTACGTATCAATTCTAATTAAACATGGTAGAAGATGGGATCCTTCGGGTTAGTATTTATTATTGTTTAGTGTTTGTTTTTAAATTACATTGAAATGAAAAAAAAAATTATTAAACTGTAAATCGTCTCTATGTTTAAGATGATATCATTACTTGTTAACTGTTGTGAAATGTATAATATTAGTGTATTTTCTGTTTTTGTGATTGTTTTGTGTTATTTTTTTCCTTAAAGTATAAAGTAATTGTATATTTATGAATGAATTTAATAGAATTATTGGAAAGAAATTTGTAAGAAAATGTGTTTCGTAAGATGTAAAAGAAGTTTTTTGGATTTTTGACGAATTGTATAACAAGTGTTTTAAGTTGGTATTAAATTATAAATTTTAGTGTGTTATATTAGATGTTGTCATTTCTGAAGTAATTAGTGAGTTAGAAATGAATTATTTGGTATGATAAGATATAGATATTTGTAATGTATGATTATTTGTTGTATGAAATGTGTATTAAGTGAGTTTGAAAGTTGTTATGAAATAAGTTGTCTTAATGATATATGTATGAAATGTATATTAAGAAAGTATGAAATTTGTATGAAAGCGTGTCCAGTAATCTGAATTTTTTTTTAAGAAATTTTGATGAATTGTATGATAAGTGTTTTAAGGTTGTATTAATTTTGAAATTTTATTGTTGACATTTTTGTATAAATTTGTGTAACATTAATGAAGTATTTTCGTAAAAAAAATGTACATATTTGCTGTATGAAATTTGTATTAAAATAATCATCAATTGTTGATATGCATGATGTTGTTGATGGACCAAAGAAGTACATAGTAAACTTAAACACCAAGATGTGTAATTGCGGAAGATTTCAAAATGATGAGATACCATGTTGGGCATGGAATGGCAGTTCTTTAGAATACAAAAGACTGCATGAAACAGAATTTTTGCTCTCCTTTTTTTATTAGCCTGAAGAATTTTTCAAGATGCATATGTCATCCCTGTTGAACCTATTCCTTGCGAGAGTACATGGGATATACCAAGTTATATTTCAGAGCCTAAATTGATGCCACCCGGTCCAAAGAGACCGGTAGGAAGACCACAACTTGAACGATGGAAGGGGTTTGCTAATGTGAAATTCAAAAGGTCAAAAATTACCTGTAGCAGATGTCGTCAAGTTGGACATAACATGAAGACATGTTCAAATTATCCTGTGCAAAAATAATGAATGTTCATTTGTTAAGACTATATATAAAAAAAAATTGTTGGTTATATTAATGTTTTGGTTTGATATAAAACATAATAACTTTGTGTTTAGCGTACTGGTTATTATTTATATATTCTTCATTCAGTTATCATACAGAATGCATACTGTTATAAATTTAGTGCTTGGAACAATTTTTAGTAACAACTGTATGAATTTTGTGTACTTAATGAATGAATCGTGTATAAATTAAGACAAACGTGAAAACACAATTCATAACATTTGTATATAAAAATTATATCATGATTAAATACAATGTCCAAACATTTAATATGCATTCTATATGATTACTGAATGAACAGTGTATGAGTGTGTTTCTATATGATTACTCATTAGTTGACACGTGTATGAAATCTATTACTATAACTTTAATATTAAATGTTTGGACATTGTATTTAATCATTGATATAAAACATAATAATTTTGTGTTTAGCGTACTGGTTATTATTTATACACTGTTCATTCAGTTATCATACTGTTATAAATTTAGTGCTTGATTTTATATTTCAATTTATACATGATTCATTCATTAAGTACACAAAATTCATACAGTTGTTACTAAAAATTGTTCCAGATTAAGTATATTGTATATATTAGTAATAATTATAAAAAGTTAATTATGTAATTCATTCCAACACTAGTTTAAGGGTTGGTCATACATATATTAATCATATTTAATTCATGAGAAAATAAGACAAATGTGAAAACACAATTCAAAACATTTGTATATAAAAATTATACTACGATTAAATACAATGTCCAAACAGTTAATATTAAAGTCATAGTAATAGATTTCATACATGTGTCAACTAATGAGTAATCATATAGAAACACACTCATACACTGTTCATTCAGTAATCATATAGAATGCATAATGATACAAATTTATTGTTAGATGTAGTATTTATTATTTATACATTATTCATTCATTAATGACACAACTTGCATATCATTAATGATAAAATTTGTTCCATATTAAAGATATTGTATATATTAGTGACTAATTTAAGTTGTTGTCGGACATATATAAATCATATTTAATTCAAACGAAAGTAAGACAAAATACAACTATAAAAATTATACCATGACTAAATACAAATATCCAACATTTAATATTGAAGTCATAGACATATGCATATAAAATGTATTTCATACACGTTTCATCCATTCGTTATACAAATTAAAAACACAGTGCTACTTTAAAAAATAGTGTATCAGAACTGTATGAAATTTGTATAATGTTATTGTCTTGAACTTATAATATCCAAACATTATAGGTTAGTGCATGTCAGTCACCATGTATATAATTAAAAACACAGTGTTGCAATTTTTAGAACATTCAAAAGAGAATCAAAAGGTGCAATCAACTATTTTGATAACATATTGTAGTATATATCATCAAATACTTAAACAAAACAGAATTATCCAAAAGTTAAACAGAAAAAAATTACCCAAAAGTTAAAAATAATAATATGTAATTCTTAAAAAGTAGAAGGTGCAATCAACTATTTCAACTTTCTAGTCGGTGGTATTGGTGTAGGATAA